CAAATTACCCAGGTCCCTGTGTGTTGCAACTATAAGAAAAAGTATCATTCAAAAGAAATTGATCCTGTTTTACATGGATATCACTGCGTATTTGTGCATGATCACAACTCCCGGGAGGTGAAGTTTGCTGAGATGGTGAATTCTCAAGTGCCTGAAACTACAACATAAATCATTACGACTAGTTTGCGAGACAGTGCAATATATGATCACGAGTATTAGCCGCGCAATGTTCGATGTGGAATATATGCATGTTGCCGTCTTTCACGTCACATAACACGAGATAAACGACCACTATTTCATCATATTCTCGCGTAATATCCCACATGTGTAATGTAATATTGCAATATGATCACCTAATCTCTCCCTTTGCCCTCTCTGCATTCCCGTTTCACCTTCCTCTCACAATGGAGAAACGAACCCGGTGAAAGGGCAACGCAGCTGACCGGAAGGACTCGCTCACACGTAAAAAGAGCAACAGTCATGATCAAGAGAACAAAAGGGACACTCCACGAGATTGCAACCTCATTCTCGCTCAGAAAAGGAAGTCAAAGAAAAGAATTACTGGAAGTTACGGCTTAAGGGAATTATCTTGCTAACAAAGACTCCGATACTTAACACGGCCGCGGAAGCCACAACGGAAGTCTAACAGCTAGAGAGAGAAGAAAGAACGCGAACAGACCAACACTTCCCAAGAGAGAGCATATGCCTGTAAATCTGAAATGAAGGAGCTCGGCTGAGTCTTGTTATAAAAAAGCAAATTTCTTTCCCTCACTTTTTCGTAAGTTCACACAAGTACATACTACCGAAACAAAAAAACAAAGGTCCTTGATAAAAAAAAGTATCAAGGGGAGTCTCATAGAGTTTTCAAGACAGAGTATGATCCTACTTATGTAAATAGGAGAGGACACGATGGCATAAAGACAGCGTTATCAGACATCGGTGTTCCTACCTTCTACTGAGATGGAAGTGCCTAACAGTGAAAAAGAATCATACGTAACACCAAGCACTATCCCCCAAGGCCATTGCAAAGGACAACATTTGCATCTGTATTTCCGAAGGACGATGGAGAGAAAGTGGAAGCCTCGTCCCGCAACAGCCGCCAACGCTCCTGTGACATCCTCGGGCCCCGGGGACATCTCCAGCCGCCGGGGATGCCTGCAGTTACAAAGAGATAAACCCACCAGTGATGAGCATGTAGATAGTAATGCAGTGAATTATGCTTTATGCAACATAGTTTCATTTACATAAGAGAGAAAGAACGGAAGGAATAAACAATTGAAATAGTGATGAATGGAAGAATAACAACAAGAGATCTTAAGATATTGTTACTAACACGAAAGGTGAATGAAAAGATATGCACAAGAGGAATCAACAAAAAACGATTACGGGAATGATGTTAAAAATCTAAATAACCATCAGTGCCACTGCTGAACGTTGATAAGAATGTTGATAATAAAAAATGTTATTATTTTTAACACTAATGATAATAATAATAAACATTAACTTTAAGAGGATTTCGTTGAATGGGAAGATGTTGCCGTTCCTAGTCCCATTAATGGCGGAGATACCTTCGGCAGTATATAATATATCACGAAACCTAAGATACCATTCTTGAGCATATATGGCTAGTCGTCCTTTATGTGGTGAGAGAAACTTCATTATAGAAGAATGTGATGGGAGAACTACGCCCTTAAACGGGACTTTGAACAAAAGAAAAGAATCAAGGAGCTCGGTTGTTAATGTGATCTGCGCAAATGAACCTTTTCCAGCCAAGATGAAAGTGGCTCCTGTTATTAAAGCGTATTGTTCGGAGGTGAATACAGCCATGGCGGCGATGCTGACTTGTGTAAAGATAACGCTGACATACAGAAATAAGAAAATGTCAGCGTCTCCGCTTTAGCCTCTGCAAACTCAAACTGCTTCTAAGCCTTTCTTATTGTACAATAAGTGTGCCAAATTTCTGAGCGATTCCTTGCACAATTTACATAATGAAAACATGATATGCATGGGAAGTTTTAAAGCTCTTCTAGGCGTAAGAATGATGGGAAAGAAGTAGAACGTTTTATGACTAGATCATGGGCAGCATTTCATATAGATAGACAGTGTATCTAACGCGGTAACAATTATGCTACAGTTTTTTCTTAAAGCAAAAGCAAGTAACAAGACAAAGCTCTCACTATACCATGAGTTTACAGCCTGCTAAGCCAAGCAATTATATTGCTCGGCTTAACATGGATTTTAATGTTAACATGCAATGTATTATTGGAAATGGTGGTTCTGTTGTTTACCCAACGAACTTTGCTGGAATAGTTAATTGAAAACTGAATAAAGTGCGCCCTATGGGTAACGTACCAACCCCAGCTTAGAGTCGTATTACTAGCTCGTTGCTGAGCCAGCTGTGTTTACACACATATATAATGCACTCATTCCAAGGAAATCTGTGGCTTACAAACACAAAGGCTAAGCTTCCTAGGCAAACACGTTCAGCAAGACCTTGATGTACCGTTAGCAAGAACTACGATGTGTGGCTTCACAATTTCGGAAACAATTAAACAAACAAACAAAAATGACAATAATAACAACCACAAAACAAGGCATTTAAGGCTTATGCAATCCCCATGTCCCCTTTTCGTACAGATCGTATCGATCTAGCTTTCTGATGCGAAGTGAGGACCTTGAAATGGACGTCGATGATCTCAGCTCATTAGATATTGAAAGCCAAGACAGGGCGGGGATGAACCCACGCAAGATACACGAAGATTAACTAACAGGGTATTTGAAAACGTGAAGCAGGGCAATGTAACTGTACGATTATTGTATTTACCTAATCTGTTTTACTATATATGTTATATCATACATATTATATCAAATAAAAGACAAATTATTTGTGTTACGATTATTTATCAAGGATAAATTATTGAATAAACCAAACAAAAACTGTTGCCTAATTAAACGTCGCAGCCCATACAAAACATCAAAAAGTTGATAAAATATACAGGCGATTCAACAACGCAGCTAGTAGGTTTGATTAAATCCATATGTTAAAAAGAGAAATGTATTTAGTTTATATATCAGAAGTTGTCAGAGGTTCATGAGAAACAAATGAATGAATAAATCAAACCGAAATTAATCCTTAATTGAATATCTCCTTCCCCCATCCCTCCCTCCCGAACAAATACGTCAGGTAATAAAAAAATAAAACTGATTAAGCAACTCAGATAAAAAAAAAGAATGCTTTCTTTCTATTTGTATAGATAGTTCTTTATTTCCATACTATGAAAATAATAAAACCACCGAGACTTAATTCAATTAAACAGAAGTTAAAACTCTCAAGATATATATATATTTTTTTTGAGTTGTATTAGTGTTTCTAACCAGCTTCTTTGCGTCTATTACCAATTTTACTATCATTATTATTATCATTATCATTATTATTATTATTATTGTTGTTATTATTATTGTTATTATTATTATTATCATTATCATGAACATATTTTTTTCTTATTATCATTATTATTTTTTTTGTTATTATTGTTATTACTATACTTTTTTATGACTGTTAATAATAATAATAATAGTAATAATAATGACTTTTAATAGTAATAATAATAATAGTAATAATAAGGATGATGATAATAATAATAATAATAATAATAATAATAATAATAATTATTATTATTATTATTATTATTATAGTATAGTAGTAGTAGTAGTAACGATAAATATAATAATAATAGTAATAATAATAACAATAATAATAATAATAATAATAATAATAATAGTAATAATAATAATAATTATAATAATAATAATAATAATAATAATAATAGTAATAATAATAATAATTATTACAACAACAACAATAGTAATAATAATAATAATAATAATAATAATAATAATAATAATAATAATAATAATAATAATAATAATAATAATAATGATAATATAATAATAGTAATAGTAATAACAATAATTATAATAATAATAATAATAATAATAAAAATAATAATAACAATAATGATAATAATGATAATAATAATAATAATAATAATAATAATAATAATAATAATAATAATAATAATAGCACTGTTACTATCCTTATTATCAAATCTTATTATTATTACGATTATTATTATTGTTGTTTTGTTGTTGTTGTTACTACTACTACTACTACTACTACTACTACTACTACTGCTACTATTATTATTATTATTATCATTATTATTATTATTATTATTATTATTTTTATCATTATCATTATCATTATTATTAATATTGCTGTTGCTGTTGTTATTACTATTACTATTACTAATATTATTATTATAATTTTTATTTTTATCATTATCATCATCATCAGTATTGTTGTTATTGTTGTTTTTACTATCATTGTTGTTATTATTATTATTATTGTTGTTGTTGTTGCTGTTTTCTTGTTGTTGTTGTTGTTGTTATTATTATTATTAGTTTACCTATAATTTTCGTTATCATACTTATTATTATCATCAATATTGTTATCATAATCATTATCGCTGTAATTAACATTATGATCATTATTAATGTTATCTGCAATAATTATTATACTTATTATTTGCATTTTCATCATCATTATATGTTATTTTTATTATCATTACAGTCATATCTATTTTTTCTTCATCATTATTATTATTGTTATTGTTATTATCAACATATAATGTCGAAATTAACAGCATTATGATAATCTTCGTTCTGTTACTTTTTCCTCAATTTTATTGTTATTGTTATTATTGCTTTCAGCACTTTTACAGTAGTTGTAGATTTAGATCGTTATTAAATTAAGATTTTCGTTTGATAATATCATTATTATTATTCCTGCTAAAATTAACATTATTCTAAATAACATTTTTGTAAATATAAGGAACTACTGCTGATTTTGTTTTAGCTTTTTTCTCCTCTCAGCATTTAAATTGATCGAAGGCACAGTCAGAACAAGTTAAACATGAATGCTTGCTTCCCTCCGACAGATGTTATTTTGCGGAAGATGACGTCATCACTGATCCACTAACGTCACACCTTATGACGTCACACCTTATGACGTCACACCCTCAGACGTCACAACCTATGGCGTCACGACCCCTGCCGTCGCTCACACCAGTCACCTAACCTTCACACACCAGCCGTTGCCTTTGACTATAGAATGGGGGCAAAGCTGGCAT